TGTTGATAACATTAATAAGTGAAGGCATCTGGGCATGGGGTTTTCTTTGCCGTAAGATTTCTAATTCCTAATTCAATTTCTTCAGATTTTCTATTTCTTTGTGAGTCCCATTTGGTAACTTGTATCTTTCTAGGAATTTGTATATTCTATTTAAGTTACCTGTTTGCATAAAATTGTTCATAATATTCCTTTATCATCTTATTTGTAGCAATGTTCACTCTTTATTTCTAATTTTGGTAATTAGTGTTTTCTAACTTTTTTTGATAGATCTGAAGATTTACCATTTTTAGATCTTTTCAAAGAACCAACTTTGGTTCCCCACCCATCTATTTTTCTATTTGCTAATATTTATATTTTCCCTCCTTCTGACTGCCTTTTGTTTAATTTGCTCTTCTTTTTTTATGCTTAGATTGTTGATTTGAGACCTCTTTTCTTTCCTAATGTTTTTAAAGTTCTAAATTTGCTTCTAAGTACTTCACTGTCTTCATCACCTAATTATTGGTATTTATATTTTGGTTTTTTCTTTTCAGTTCAAGATATTTTCTAATTTCCCTTGTGATTATTCTTTGACCTGTGGTTATTTATAAGTGTGTTGTTTAATTTCCAAATATTTGGGATTTACTAACTTTCTGTTGATTACTAATTTATTTTTTTTTTACTTATTTTTTTTTAAAGATTTTATTTATTTATTTGAGAGAGAATGAGAGATAGAGAGCACGAGAGGGAAGAGGGTCAGAGGGAGAAGCAGACCCCCCGCTGAGCAGGGAGCCCGATGCGGGACTCGATCCCGGGATTCTGGGATCATGACCTGAGCCGAAGGCAGTCGCTTAACCAGCTGAGCCACCCAGGCGCCCTGTTGATTACTAATTTAATTCCATTGTGGTTTGAAGTTTTTAAACTCAAAAGACTTTTTCATGGTTGAATTGGTCTGACCTGAAGAATGTTCCATGTGCACTTAAAAAGAACGTGTATTCTGTTATTGGTGGATTGAGTGCCCCTTAATTGTCAGTAAAGTAAAATTGATTGATAATGTTCAAGATTTCCATATCCTTACTGATTTCTCTACGTAGCTCTTTTTTTCAGGAAGAGGAAGCTATTGAAAACTCCAAATAAAATTTTTCAATTGTCTCTTTTTCCTTTTATTCTGCTACTGTTATTAGGTATCTTTACATTTGATTGTTCTACCTTCCTGGTATATTTATATGTTTTTCTTTGTCTCTAGTAATATTTCTTATCTTAAACCCCAACTCTCTTATGGTTACTATTTGCATGGTATGTCTTCTCATCTTTTAGTTCAACCTACTTGTGACTTTGTTTTTTTTTTGTTTATTTGTTTTACCCTCTGAGCAGAGAGCCTGACATGGGGCTTGATCCCAGGACCCTGAGATCATGACCTGAGCTGAAGGTAGGCTCTTAACCAGCTGAGCCACCCAGGCTCCCTGACTTGTGACTTTGAATCTCAGGTGTTTCTTTTATAGATAACATATAGTTGGGTCTTTTTTTTTTTTTTAATCCAGTCTGACCATCTCTTTTGAATAGGTTGTTTATAGTCTTGTTCACATTTAATGTAATTATTGCTGTGGTTAGATTCATGTCTGCCATTTTGCTTTTTGTTTTCAATTTGACTCAAGTGTTTTTGTTCTCTGTCCCTCCTTTAACTGTTTTTTGTTTGGTTTTTTTTTTTGGTATGATGAGTGATTTCCAGTTGTATCCTGGACATTCTGGGTGTTATATTGTGAGACTCATAATCATATTTCTTCTTTTTTAGTAGGCAGTCTTGTTTAGATGTAATGCATGGGATAGATGTTCAGCTCCCTGCCAGGCCCTGGCTCACACTATCTCCTTCCAGATGGATGGGTGGGGTATAAAATCAGCTCTGTACTGGGCTCCGCTGACATTTAGAGGCCTGGGAAAGGGAGATGAGGTGCTCACTTCCCCTTGTCTCCTGCGTTTTGATGCTGGGTGGCGGTAGAGAGAGGCTCTGTGACTTAATTTTAGCAGAATTAGGGTAATGAAGTTATATGCTTCACGTTTTCTTGGCAAGTAAAAACTTGACAAATCTCAACCTGTTTTAAGTTTCATTAGCCATCTGTATACTGGTGGTGTCCATCAGAACTAAGTCCCTCCTCATTAAGCCAAATATTATTATTTAAAAACTTCAAAAGCACCAGAGTGAGAAAAATGTTTTTAGTAGGCAAAAGTTATTTGGAAGAAGTCTATGTGTGCAAAAGTTATTTGGAAGAAGTCTATGTGTTTGTGAGAAACAAAGGAGATAATATGTATAGTTATTCAAATATTTTTATTAGGGATTTTTCTTTAAAATTCAGGGACTGAAACACCTTGGTCTTGCTAAAAGAAGATCCAGTTACAAGCTACAACTCAGTTTATGTGTCCTCTGGCAGGTTTAGAAGTACTTTGAAACCTCAACCAAAGGTTGACCAAAGAATTAATTTTGTGCCAATACCATTTGGGCCACAGCACTCCAGTTTTAGACTTGGGGGTGGTGATGGGGCACTGAAATAAGAGGAGAGAGTGATAGGAGATAGTTGGCATACTCAGGGGTTATTGACTCCGTCTCCCTCTTTTCATCACTCTAGGAACGTACAGGTTGCTACATTAACTTTTATCTGTTAATGGAAGGAAGGGGCAGTCTCTATTGCCAGTTAGGGAAGTAAATATAGGAATAGTGGGGGGGAAGGTAGTTTGTACATGTAGGATCAGCAAGACTTAGTAACAGATTATTGGTGAAGGTAGGAAATAAAACAGACAGAGGAATCCAAAATTACTCTTATATTTTTAGCTTTTATAACTGAAAGAATGGTGCCATTGACAAAAATAGGAAAGCTACCATGCATGTGATATAGGAGAGATGATGATGCTTTAGTGTAATTGATTTTGAATTATTGTTTTATTCAATTAGTTTATAGTAGATTCTATCTTTTTAAAGATTCTAAAAGCACCTTACAATTTTTTATAAAAGTTTTATCAGTATATAATTTACATACCCCAAAATTTACCCATACTTGTGTAATTTATATACAAGAAAACTCATCAAGAATTTAGTATATTTACAATCATGACATTGTTACCACAGCCATCAGCACCACGTAATTTTAGAACATTTATATCACCCTAAAAGAAATCTCTTTCCCATTCCTACCTCCAGTCCTAGGCAATGACTAATCTACTTTCTGCTCTGTGTCCTTTTCTAGACATTTCATATAAATGGAATCATATAATATGTGTGTTTTGGGTGGCTGGCTTCTTTGAGCATGTTTTTGAAGCTCACTCATGCTCCTTGCACTTTTTACAATTAGTATATTCCTCTACTATTAGCTATGAAACTTAGTATACATGAATCATATGGATAAATTGTGTGAAACCAGTCAGTGTAGGGAAAAGTTATATGTTGAAAGAAAGCTATCAGAAAGTGATTTTATTGGTACTTATTCATCTATAGAGGTTTTGTTTGCTAAGTATTTGCTAACCTAGAATATCTGTATATGATAGTTATCACAATTAAAATGGGAATGCTGAGATAGAGATTTATTATGAAACATTGTAATATTTAAGTTGGAAAGAGAATGAACCCCCTTGGTTTCTTTTCTTTTTGAACTGTTAATAAGTTATTTACTAAATTGAGATTTTATTTCATTTTTGTCCAAATGAACATGGATTTTGACTAGAGAAATGATTATTTACCCTATTAGTCTTGATTATCTTGATCAGAGCTAAATAGTTGATGTGAGTGACACATCTAAGTTATAAGTAGGGGAGATGAGAAAAGAGATGGAAAATGTATATATTGTCACTAGAAAGTAGTTCGTCAATTCTGGTACAGTAGAGATATATTTAAATATTTATGCCAGAACACACTTCATTTTATTGCCCTACCTTGATTAATGTAAAATGTGGAATTACTAACTCCTGGCCTTATTGAGACATTTAACTATGTGGATAAATCAAAGTATACTTTTATTTACTTCATTAATTCCACTTAAAGTGTCTTAATTTGGGAATCACTCTGGGTAGAATTCAGTTAACTTCACATTTTTCATATGGCATCGTATTTGAAATAAATCAGTATCAATTGACATAATCTAGACCAATCTGAGGGAAAAACTATGAAGTAGAAATTTTTTTTTTTTTTTAAAGATTTTATTTATTTATTCATGAGAGACAGTGACAGAGAGAGAGAGAGAGGCAGAGGGAGAAGCAGGCTCCCAAGGAGCAGGGAGCCCGATGCGGGACCCGATCCCAGGACCCCGGGACGATGACCTGAGCCGAAGGCAGACGCTCAACCATCTGAGCCACCCAGGCGCCCTGAAGTAGAAAATTTAAGTGTTTCCCTCCCTTGTCTTCTCACCTTTTCTTTTGTACCCTTTCCACAGGAGCTTATAAAATACTGTCCTACTCTTTGCCAAGACTGAAGTAAATTTCATAAATGGATTCATACTAAGTTATTAAGGATTTAAAGTATTGCTTTTTTCTGATGTATCATAGCTTGAAAAGAGGGCTACAGAGTACTGCTTAACTAAAAGGAATTAATTACTAATGGTAGTTTTGGGTTGTTTGTGGTAGGAAGGGAACTGGGAGGTGGAAAACAAGGTATTTATCTCCTCATTCTGTCTCCTAGACAATACTTAACGATATGGTTATATTAGGGAGTTGGTCAAGTACTAGTGAAAACAGAATAAACTACTGTAAAGACAGATGTTTGCTAATAGTTTTTGTAATGAGACTAAAAGAGAAAAATAAGACATTTTAGGATTGGACAGTTGGCTTCATTTGGGTTTATTTAAAATTTGAAATTTCAGTTAATTTTGTTCGTTTTAGTGTCATTTTCTTTTTACGCACAAAGTAAAATGTGGATGATTTTAAAGATGATCTATGACACCTACGACGCCCCCTCCCAATTTAAATCTGTCCAAAAGGATCTCTGTCTTATGACCTTGTGCTTAATAATGAATGTTACCCTTTTTGTTTTTGTTTTCTTCTAGGCTGTATTCATCACCAAAGAAAAAACTTACACCAATGCAGAAATCAGTTAGTCCATTAGTTTGGTGCAGGCAAGTTTTGGATTACCCAAGTCCTGATGTTGAATGTGCTAAAAAGTCTCTTATCCACAAACTTGATCAAACTATGTCAGGTATGTCTGTAATTTTACTTGTAAATTCATCTCTTTTTTTAATCAAAAAACCAGATAAATGTTGAGTGGGTATGTTTTTTTTTTTAAGATTTTATTTATTTGAGAGAGAGAATGAGATAGAGAGCATGAGAGGGAGGAGGGTCTGAGGGAGAAGCAGACTCCCTGCTGAGCAGGGAGCCTGATGGGGAACTCGATCCCGGGACTCCAGGATCATGACCTGAGCCGAAGGCAGTCGCTTAACCAACTGAGCCACCCAGGCGCCCAAGTGGGTATGTTTTTAGGAAGGCAGTTCTTTGCTTGGTAGTGTTTTTTGAATCTCATTGTGCATGCCATCATGAGTTTTTGCCATATGCACATAATCCTGTGCTATTACTTAATAGTTTTTTCCCCCAATCTTTTTATTTTTATTTCACTTCATCCTGAAGAATAATATCCATGGAGGCACCTGGGTGGGACAGTTGGTTCAGCGTTCGCCTTCGGCTCAGGTCATGGTCCTGGGGTTCTGGGACGGAGCCCCACATCAGGTTCCTTACTCAGCTGGCAGTCGGCTTCTCGCCCTGACCCTCCCTCCTGCTCATGCATGCGCGCTCTCCCTCTCTCTCTCCTTCTCTCTCTCTCAAATGAATAAGTAAAATCTTAAAAAAATAATACCCACGAAATAATGGGTTTTTGCAGCAGGGTTTTTTCCCCAATACAAGTTAAAACAAATAACTTTTAAAAAATAGCTTTGGTATCATCTAAAATCATCTCACTACCCTCGGGAAATTCTGATGTGGTAGAAGGGTACGGCCTGAGAACCTAAGAGACCTCATTCTCTAGCACGTAGTTACTGAGTGACTCGCAGCATTATTTAACTTCTGCGAGCTCAGTTTTCTCAGGAGAATGATGAACCTTGTACATTTATTTTAAGGACTAGATGATAGTGTTTATGTAAGAGTCTAGCGTGTTTCTCTGGCTCATAGTAGGTACTTAATAAATGTATTCATTTTCTTTCCCTTGTTTTTTGTTTCTAACTTGGCATTTTAGTTCAGATTGCTTTTATGCTCTTTTGTTTAATGGCACTCACAAAGCTGACAAAATGTGTCTGTCACTATTTATGGCATTTAATATAGCATGCCAGTGTGGGTAGAAATGTAGGAAAAATATTTACTCTTTCTTGGAATTTCTCTTGATCTCTTAAGAATGTTGCTGTTTTTTGGAATACTTATGTAGTGAGGAATTGATGTGTGATTACTAATCTTAAATAGGTTTTCTGTTTTGCCTTGCATTTACTTGACAGCCATGTACTTAAAATTGCTTATTTTGCTTAATTATTAAAACTGTGCTGCTATTAGAGTGTAAGCTGAAAATGTTCGGGGGAGACAAAGGGGAAACTAAACAGTTAAAGTGGCGTCTGATGAAGCATAGTTTGGTTAGCTAGAAGTAGTGGTTATTACATGAAAATAACATATAAGATGTGATTACAGAGATGTGAATCTGTTTTGACACCAAATTGTTACTTTTTCCTTGCGTGGAGGATCCTTTTTGAAAAAGCAGTCGCTTTTATGTAATTAAAAATTTTTTTTCTCCCATCTAAGTACTAACCAGGCCTGACCCTGCTTAGCTTCCAAGACCAGACAAGATCAGTATGTTCAGGTGGTATGGCCATAGACTAAAAATGTTTTTTCTGAATATTAAGTATTATTATAGAATTATATCCTGGAGCTTGATTTAAATTATACTTATAAGAGATTATTAGAAATATGTAGACAAGGTAGTAGACAATTTGAAATAACTGGAAAATTTCTAACTTATTCCGGTTAGGTGATATTAAAGATTTATTTGAGAGAGAGAGAGCATATGTGTGTGCACGTATGCACACATGTGTGAGCAGAGTGAGGAGAGAGAATCTCAAGCAGACTCCCCACTGAGCGTGGAGCCCAGTGCAGGGCTTGACCTCATGACCCTGAGATCATGACCTGAGCCAAAATCAAGAGTCGGACGTTTAACTGACTGAGCTACCAGGGTGCCCCTAGATGATATTATTTAGATGTTTATTAAAAACATCTTTAGGAACAATTTTCTAGTATTCTATCTCATCTTAGAAATAATGTAAGTATGGGGTGCCTGGGTGGCTCAGTCGTTAAGCATCTGCCTTCGGCTCAGGTCACGATCCCAGGGTCCTGGGATCGAGCCCCGCATCGGGCTCCCTGCTCAGCAGGAAGCCTGCTTCTCCCTCTCCCACTCCCCCTGCTTGTGTTCCCTCTCTCGCTGTGTCTCTCTCTGTCAAATAAATAAATAAAATCTTTAAAAAAAAAAAAAAAGAAAGAATGTAAGTATATTTTACAGTTAAAGAGTTTTCATCATTCAGTACTATATGTTCATAACCTATTATGTGCTTCGTATTGTTCTCAGCTCTGAGGATATTGCAATGAATAAAATAGACCAGAGCTTATATTCTAATGGATGTGGCAGACAGTAGATAAATAAACATTAAAAAAAGGGTTGGCAAGCTTTTTCTGTAAATAGCCAGATATAAACATCTTAGGCTTTGTGGACTATGAATGGGTATGGCTGTGTTCCAGTAAAGATTTATTTACAAAAAGAAGTGATGGGCTGGATTTGGCTCACAGGCTATAGTTTACTAAACCCTGGTTTAAAACATCCTAAGACATAGGAACTATTAACAATTGGTAATTAGTAAGTTGCACTTAGAAGGAAAAAACCAAAATAGCACCTCAAAAATAGCAATTTGAGGGAGTAGCTTTTTGCTTTATTATATAACAAGGTATTAAAGATAATGGGAGTATGTAAGAGAAACTGCTATTCTTGAACTACTAGGTGTAATCAAGTACTGGATTTAATGCTGTGCATCCATCAGCACTGTCCATCTCCAGAACTTTTTCATCATCCCATACTAAAATTCTGTATCCATTAAATTTCCCATTTCCCCGTCCCCCATCTGCCCACTTTTTAAATTTAGGGTGACCCAGGTCTCTTTTGCCTGGATTCCCTTGTTTTGATTATTTTATCCATTCATATGGTGGCCAGATCCTCTATTCAAATTAATCTTATTCATCAGGTATATATTCAGTTAATATTTACTGAGAGCCTGGTATGTATCAGACTTTGGGGAAAGGGTAGAGGATACATGATGAGGAAACACTAACACTGTACCTGAACTCATGGAGTTTGTCATCTACTAGGGAAAATGTACTAATACAAAATAATTTTTATAACTGGTGATATGTAATGAAAGAATGGTACCTAGTGCTTTGAGCTTTGAGAAATAGGAATTTTACCTCAGGAAGCAATGTTTGACCTGAGTCCTAAAGATTCAGAAAAATGTGAGTGATTTAAGGGGGAAGGCGGAAGAGGGAGTAACGTATTCCAAGTAGAGAAGACAGCATGTGCAAAGGCTCTGTGGAAGGCCTGTGGGAGCATGTGGGGGGAGTACAGCCCACACTTGAGGACCTGGAATAAGCCAGGGTGGTGGCTGAAGAAGACTAAGGAAGGGAGAGATGTGAGGTATGGCCAGAAAGATATGTAGGAGCCAGACTTTGCAAGGCCTTATTATAGATTATGTTAAAGGTTTTGGACTTTATTCTAAAAGCAATAGAAAGATTTTGGAGGGTTTTATTCCAGGGCGTGGTGTGTATGGGCAGGAAGACGTGATCAGTTTTGCATTTTGGTTAAGGTCTTGCTTAGCTGTAGTATGGAGAGTAGAATTGGAAAGGGCCAAAAGTGAATGAATGTAGGATGCTTTTGAGGGGGTTGATAATGACAGCTGGGCAGTGTGTGTTGATCGTAGTGGAGATGAAAAGATGTGGAAGGAAAAATGAATGAACCAGATTTGAGGAAATGAGTGAGAAGTATCAACAATGATCTAGGTTTCCAGCTTGTGTGACAGGATGAATGTTATTAATCATTCTGAGATAATAAACCCAGGAAGAGAATTCAATGTTAGTGGGAAATCATGAGTTTGAATTTAGAAATGTTGACTCTGAGGTACATGCGCCATACCCACAGGGGAGACATTAAATAGGCAGCACACATGGGACCGAAGTCCAGGAAAACTTAGGACTGGAGATACAAATAATGGGGAGTTTTTGGAATACAGGTAATAACTGACGTCATGGGTATGAATGAGATTTCTTAGAAGGAATATGGTATAGAGTGAGAAGATAAAAGGGCTGAGAACTTGAAATGCTAGGGATTAAACAAATAACCAAGCAGAAGAGAATAAGCTTAAAAGGAGATCAAAGAGTAAAGGGGAAGAAATTAACACCCCAATTTCTGCTCAGGTTAGTATTTCTGAGATCCTGCCGCATACTACGTACTAAATATGTTTAAAGTGTGGCATCTTGTCTCATGGTGAATATGGACAAAACCACATTGTCGAACTTAAACTACACCGTCCAACTAAACAGAAAAACTAAACAGCAAACACGTTCCTTCTCTCTAAAGCACTACTCTGCCCAGTAGGTAAACCAGAAACTTTATAGAGTCATCTTACTTTGTTTCCTTTAGTAATCCTTCTAGTTTTTAATACCTATTCTTTTTTTATATTTGTCTCCTCTGCTGCCTAGTTCAGTCTAATCTATTCAACATAAAAATGTCCATCAGTTTTCTTTTTTTTTTTTTTTT